AAATGCATATTCTTTTACGTGTTAAATATTTAACACGTAAAAGAATGTAGGTTACATTCAGTTAACAAAATTGGTAAAGAAGCACAGCAATGTCTTAGGTTACGGATTAACTTAATTAATTTTACACCTGATTACAACATTTAGTATATTTTAGGTTTCAATTGAAGATGATCGAGGATTGCTTATTGTATATTATAATCATCCCATAATATCAAAAACTGTATTTATATATTTATTACAATTTAACGCCTAAACAAATCCCTTGTCAAAATTTGTCATTGGTTCTCCCAGTAGGCTAACATAAAGAAGCCATACTCAGATATCTCAGTCATTTTCTGCTCTGCAGTTGACTTAAGTTGAAACGTTATAGCATTATTACTTATCTGAGGTTTCAGATGCTGAAAGAGTATGTTGCAGATTAGGGCTTTGGTTGAGTTTCTGCTTAATTGCTCGCCTCGGGAAGCATGTTGTGGATTGGCGTCGCGTTTTGTGCATCAAAACGTAGTGTACTTTATGGTATTCAGTTTTAAGGACGAGAAAGATTACTGACCATAGCATAGTAATCGGTTGTATACACGTATGTTTCATGTATTTGGAACTTGGTGTCTTAAAAAGCAGAAGGATGTGGGGCATACGGCGAGCGGGTTAATCCCCGTGAACATAAGAGGGCGCTACCAGTGCACCTGGTGCCGAGGTATCACGCGCTTTAGCCCCATCGTAAAGGCGCACTAATCCAGATAATAGTCTGCTGAGTGTTGATTGTCCTCTTAAAACGAAAAAATATACACAATAGGTGTCGCATTCAGTTTCTTCCTCAAACTCACAGCCGCATCATGTTTCGTTAAAATATCACATTTCCAACGTCACTTAATATTAATAAGAGTCGCGATTAATTGCAATTAAGAGTGAGACGTTCGGTTTGACATCTGGTTCAAATGACTGTTAAGTGAAAGATTGATATGCACGGAGACACACCTACATCTGCTTCTTTGCGAAATGTTTTATGTCTTACTCGTTTGAAAGTGGTACTGCTGGCTTGCATTAATTCTGTAGGTAAGCAGAGATTTCCCAGTTCCTTAAAACTAGAAATTTCATTACCATTTTAGAGTTTAGAGAAATTGCCAGACTGCAGCTTTTATCTTGAAATTGGTTCATCGTCTTTCGTTTACACAGAATTACACTTCGTTTTCTTTGGGATGGCTTGTGTTTGCATGAGACAAAGATAAAGTAACCAAGCTTGTACAGACTGACAGCCCCCGTTCCGTCATATAGTCGTACAAACACGCGCGCACACACAGCAGCACGTGCCTGCTTCTCAGTTAACGTGTACACTCAGTGCCATAACCCAGATTTATATAATTACAATAAAAACAAAAAATCGGTCGGTGAAATTTGACCAGTGATTAGTGTCTGTTACTCAAAGTTTGCATCATATGTATTGCCTGACTGTTTATAAAATATGTATTTTAGCAAACTTCCACTCAGTTAAACTAGCACAGCTAAGTAATGAGTCGGGAACAGCTGTAAGAGAGCTTTGGACTTGTGCAAGTCACAATAAACAGAATTCATGCGCAGACATTTCGTTTCGGCACAGCGATATACACGTACCGTGACACTGATTCGGTTAAATTTGAGACAAATTAATAGATTACATTTAGTAAATAAAGACGGACCCGCGATTAACATTTGATAAGGAAACTTTCTTTCTTTTTTGCCAATAATACACTGTCATTTTATGAGTTTGTGGTGGGATAATGAGGGGTGCCTGGTGAATATATTTAAACGTTATATATTGCACATCTGTAAATTTCACATACAAAAACTACCCAGCACCGCCTCCTTCTAGGCGCCTGTCTTGCAGAGCGCTTCATTATCTCAGTAGAAGTCCTCTTACGCGCTGCTTTCTACATACTCATTTTCACAGTCTTCCTCTCTATCGAGAGAAGGAATATATCTCAAATCTTAGAGACACCAGTGTCTACCTCACTGCTGTAACTGTGCACCATTACGTTAATATACTGAATACTTAAACCCTGTGCATTGTAATCGGACATTTAAAATGACGAGATGTATGTATCAGCAATGCATCACATAACCTTTGCTCCCTAATCAAAATCCAATTTGATTGCTGGAAAAGGTTTTTCTATACATGGTTTTAAAGTTACATCGGATAAGCACAAACACACCATTTTAGGAAAACAGCAAAAGATCCAGCTACTAGTGAGCATTTCGAGGTTTATTTAGGAATATTTAGTTAAAATGTTCATTTTAATTCAAGGTAATTGAAATGAACTTACACTTTCGATGACCGCCTTTATACCTTCGACCGCACTTTAAAAAATGACACTATGCAAATAAATCCAATGACGTAATAATGAACTTAGTATACAGATATTACTAGTCCGAAAATGTAACTTTATCGATCGAAGGAAATATAATCTCATTTATTGAAGGAACAAAGGGCACCAAAATACGCCGTATCGGGCTTTTAAAAATAAAATTATTATAGTTTATATTTAGGTTATGTTAAAAATTCACGTAGGCTAAAGGTAGGGAAACTGTCTGCTACAAAATAAATAACAGAGACTGTAGCTGTGGGATAAAATACGAAAATCGTGCTTTATACAATGCATGTATAATATATGCACAAATATGATGAGAATAAGATCCATCCATTCAACCTATTAATTTCCCAGAATATGTTGACGTTTCCGTTTTTGTGATTTTAACCTGTGAAAGTGACACAACAATTCACTCAACAGCAACAGCAGCAACAACAACAACAATAACAATAAAATAATATTATCATAATAATAATATGCAATAATATTCGCGAGTGTAGTGGTGTTGCTTGAACGAATGCAATTATTATGTATATGTAATTAATGAAAGTGAGCTGGTTAATTTTGTTTGTAAGGATTAGGAGCCCTTTGACTTGGAGTAGGAAAGTGTGCATTCAGATTCTCTGGGATTGTCCGTTTCTTTACAAGAGGCCAACAATGGAATTAACATGACAAAGGACAACGGAATAGCCACGAAGGCTGAAGTCTTGAGTACACTTACCAGTTTAGGGAAAAGTTAATGTCAATTTAACCGTTTTATTTTGCCGGGGGGGGAAGGAGGGGGGGTGGTGTAGAGGTGGTGGCCGGACTCACCGATTTGTGTTAAAATTGCATGTGAACTTATATTTTTTTCCAATAAATGATACATAAAACAAATAGTAATGCATACCAGAGTAAAGAAAAAATAAAAGAGTGCAAAGTGCAACATTTGACATTGCAATTAATGCAGAATTCTAAAACAACATATTTATTTCTTATATTGAAAAAAAAACATTTCACGCTACAATCCAGAGTGACCTATAAACGCATAAGGGGACGTGACAGTTCGTAGTCATGAAGATGCAAAATGAGTACTAGGTTAAATTCCCTGCGCCTTTATATTTAATGGAACGCCCCGCGTTCAAATACAAACTCCGAAGGTCGTATATTATCCTATTTTGCGCAGTTGATTTTTATTTAAATAACAATTATACGAAAAATTAAGAATAAAAAGCAAATCAAATAAATATGCAAATATGGAACACATTAATAGTCGTAAGAATTTCCGTTTTGGTAATTGTTTGCAGGTTATTTGATCCCAGTCGTTACGGCTGAGTTGTCTACACAATGACAAAAATCGGCTTCACACGCCTTCCAGTCCGCGTGTCACTTGTGCTACGCTTTGACTCTACAGTAAGGCAGCGAAGCTGGCCAAGAACACACGCCAGCAAGTTAAGAGATGCGCGCTTTATGCAACTGTGCCACAGTAGCGTACAATTATTTAGACACTGCCTTTGTGACAACTTAACAATAGGCTGCAATTAAATGTCGTTTATCTCGGCTATTATTGAAATAATATATCACGCCTGTAAGCTCTGTAGTTTACTCGCAGTGCACCGGTGAATCCTAAATCGTGCTAAATATCACAACATTAGTTCAGTTTTACTACTCATGTAAATTTCTTTTACGTTGTTTGCATTTCACCGTGCGAGATGAGAAAATACGATTTAAGACCAATTTGATTGTAACATAAGAAAAAAGAAGACGCGCCGTTTTTTTAACAATCCCACAAAACGCATGTTTTAATGGGTAGCCCGTACCCCATTTATTTCAACCGCAAAAATTTATTTTTATTGAATACACTCTATCTGCATGTTCCTTCTTTAAACTTTTTATATTTACATTTTTAAAGTTTAATGTTTTGATTACAGCATGCAATCAGGTTCAATGAATTCTTTAGACTTGAACTTCAAATGTATACATTGGAAAAACATATCTATTGTACTTTTATTAAGCAGAATTAGCTCAATATGTTTTCATATCCTGTATTCTTCGATGTATTGATAGGTCAGGGCAGAATAATAGTAAAATTCATATAAATATACTCCGGTAAAAGCGCGTCTACAGATGATATAAAACATCGTTTGTACGTAAAACAAATACAGGCCTACGCACATATCATATATTTTGTTTAGATTTACCAATATGGTCCTTTGGTCGTTAGAGCATTTTCATTATCAGCACAACGGAAAACATTATAGCGATTTGTTATGAATTATCAAATATTCTAATTTGCCACTTACACTTATTATTAAAGTATTAAATTCTGTGAAAGACGAATGTGTAATATGAATTTTACATATTATATATGTATAAATAATTATCATACAAATACATATGAATCATTGTAAACCATGCAAAAAAGAAAGAACGCAAAAAACATAACGAAATAGCGAATGATACCGCTTTGATTTTTTTTTCACGGCTGTCATTTCATTCCAAAATTAGTGAACTTTTATTTTTCTTTTGCGATGAAACTCGGTTATTTTCCTTTCCGCTTTTCTTAATTTCCTATTTTCATATACAGATAATCACTTTTCTCTTTTTCTCTTTCTATCTACCCATCCATTCCCACCTCCCTCCCTCAATGGCTTTCTCCCTCCCTCCCCTCTTTCTCTCTCTCTTTCTCCCTCGCTCTCTCCTTTGCTGAATCTTATTGATCCAGAAGGTGGCTAATTAGCCCTTCCCGTCGTGCCTGTGTAATGAAGCACATGCGCACTGAATTAATCACAGCCATTTTTTGCAGGAAACTAATTAGCAGGAATAAAGATCCAAAGAGTTTTTTTCTTTTCAATCATCAGATCTCACTTTCACCTCTTCCTCTCTCCCTCTAACACAAGACACATCGCCTGCTTAGCATCCAAAATATTTTTATACAGCTAGCTTTTACAACTAGCTAATACTTCGTTTTTTACTCTCCGCAACAACAATGATCTTTCTTTTACCACCCTAAATGCAAACTGACCAAAAGGGACTCTGCCTTGATGGGATCTCTAGCCAAACCGTCTCTATACTGGATTAAAAAGCGAAGATCACAAAGCGGCTGCAAAAAAATTGTAAGTTTCAACTTTGGGTTTCTCCGTTTCACCCTGCGATTATTTTTTTTCTGGTTTTTCTCAGTTTTATTACTACCCGAAGGTTTCAGCATTTTCCCTTCTCACTTCGAGGGCTGGCTATTGCCCAAGCCGTAGAAATAACGGGCAGTCGCGGTTTGTTTTCACGCCGGTTTGTTTTATTTGTCTTCCGTTTCTGCTCGTATCTTTACCTGTGTTTACATCTGGCTCCGTCCTCTCTCCCCTCATCACTGCTGGAAGCGAGACGGCGGCGACAGCGGCTCCTTTCGCGGCCAGCAGACCGCCGCCAGCCGCGGCTTTTAAAAAACCCCGATTCGTGCGCTATATCTGAAGCAGGAAGAGCGAAGGAGAATAAGATTGCAAGATGTCATGTTTTAGTGGCGATCGCGGGAAGGGATGGGTCGCGTCGAGCCGAGAGAGGGTAGCGGGGGCTCCTCAAGAACGTCGCCTCGGAAGGGACTCTGTAGTCCAGCCGTGTGTCCGTCTCAGTGCGCCGAAATGGAAACATCTTTTGTCCGCACTTCTAGGAATCTATCACTTTGTCGTATTTTCTTATCTCCAGTTTCATCCAAAATCCCACATCTGCATGATCCCCGGTGCTTTGAGATCATTTCACTTCTCGAGTCGTTTCTTTCCACCCGCCTTTTGCGTTTGTCACTTCTACTTTTTTTCTTTCTCTTCCCTTCACTTTGTTCATCTTTTTCGTAATATTTTCAGGTCCTGTTTGGATATCGTGGAGTGTTGTTTAGGTCGATTCTCGGCGATTCCCTAACAGAGTCACATGTAAATCGATCGGCTTGTGTGTGTGTGAGTGTTTTGTGAGTGTGGAGCCTTTAAAGCCGGAGTCCCGAGTCTTCCTGACAAGAGCCGATCAGGAGGACTTCGGGGACGGGGAAGCGCTGAACCCCGAGCCGCTAGTTGCGACGGAAAGTCGGGAAGTGAATGTGGTTGAAGACAGAAGTTTGACAAAGACGATAACCAGAATAGTTATTTGAATTATCAGGAAAAAGGAACAAGATGAGAACGATTTGCAAAAAATGCAGTATTAATAAAACGAAGAAAAAGATTTATGATTCGATTGTTGCAATATTTGTAAATATCACGCATTTTTTATTCTATTTATTACCGATTAAAAATGTTGGATGCGACGTTTAAACGAATTGTTTATATATAGAGAAACTTGAGAGTAATTGCCGTAAGGATAGTAAAATAAGAAAGCGCCTGACTACGGTAAAATTACTTGAGAGAAAAAAATGCCGGACGATGAAAAAAGAAAAATATGAAAGAAACACTGGAGGAAAGTAAGAGTGGTTGCAGTTTGCTGTAGTCGCAGAGATATTGAGACAAGAAGGGGGACGCGGTTGTAGTGAGAGTCTAGTCCCTCGGAGATACGGACTGATAGACACGAAAGAGCACAGACGTCTCCCATCGCACATAAACGCCAAGGCAAAGTTTCAAAATAAAGCCTAGATGAGACAGACTGAATAAAAGCACATTCGGAGAAGACGGAGAGCAGCATGCATTTGAGACAAGCAGGCGAAGAAAAAGCATTTTGAGTGCTGAGGCAGGGATGTGCGAGGTCTGGGTAGAATAACAGAGGCAAGCTGAAAGGCTGGGGGTCAGACGGCAAGAAATAGGGGAACAGGGGTCACTGAATGTAAGAGATAAAAAGAGAGTGAAGGGAAAACCCTCAATTAACAGCCTGGGGGAGAGAGTGAAAGATTGAGAGGATTGAGAAAGAGGCGAGGGTGGGGGTTGTGTTATAGGGTCACACAAAGCTGAGCATAGATTGTGGGGGTCAGGGAGTGAAAAATGACAAAAATAAATCTATAGATGGTCAGCGAGAAAAGCAGTGGAAGGACAGTGAGGCGGCCTGAGATGGAAGCGTCTGAGTCCCTGAAGGGTGAACTGCGGCTAGGCTTCTGAGGGGAAGGCAGGATGAGTCAAATCACAGTGAGATCTGGAGAAAAATATAGGGGGGGTCACTGAAACATGGGTGATGCTGGCCTCTCTGTTAGTCCTGTCTACCAGGGCCAAAGCCATTCACACACACCTCAGGGTGGAGGATATGACTGTCAGTGGATGGAGCAGGAAGGCAGAATTTAAAAATATGTGAAAAACATTCAAAGTCGTGGAATAAATGCTTGTAGTGTGTGCCCTTAACCCGCAAGATCCCTGGAACATTTAATTTATATTTAGCTTTTTTAAAAACTCTGAAAGGATGGATAGTCCGGAGTTTTCTTTTCTTTTTTTGTTTTTAATAAGAGTGTGTACACCACCTTTTCAGTTTCCCCACCCCTCGTCCCCCCCCCTCCACCCAACCCACCCGCAAGCGTACTGAAAGTGGGAGACTGTGCAAGAGATGGTTCTGGACTGTGTGTGTCTGCGTACATGCAGCATCTCAAAGGCTGGGTGGCAGTTCGAGGCATCACGCGGACCGGGGATGTGGTGCATCGTAGGTGCTCTGCTCTGGCCTCGATGCCTGCTCATCTTGGCAGACAAAGAACGCCAAAGCGCTCAGTAAGCACCAAACTCTACCTGTGTTTACTCCCGGATTATAGGCCGTCCGAATCTGCCAACAGTCATTAAAATGCCACAAAACACGTCTTTTTTTGTAACTTGGACAAAATGACGTATCGCCATCCAAACGGAGCGGTTTTGTGCGTAAATTTCCCAGTGCGCACAGTGTTAGAGGACACTGAGAACCAATGGTTGTTCATTCGTAGGCTTCTGGCTGTCCTATCGCACAGTATTTGGTTGCACCTTCACAGAGGTACGTTGTGTATTTTCCATGATTGAGTGTTTCCTATTGGCATGCTCTGATTGATATGAAAAATTGCTGTCATTAAAAAAATGTTCTGCTTTTCAGAGATTAGCTGCCTGATGCAGTGTCGATCAAGGCCATTTTGAATGTTTATGTACCAGGATGAAACTGGTGAATTGGTATTGGATTTAGGGATGGGCGGGGCAAAAGGAAACAGGCTTTGCTGTCTATCTAGTATTGAATAAAAGCAAAAAGATCCCTAAACACATCTGCGACGCACCAGCCTGCTGCTATCTGTCCAGGCCAGCGTCTTCCGACTGGACTGCACAGGCACAGCACAGAGCATGTCTCTGCGTTTTCCGGGAGATACAAACCGTAATTATCACAGGCTGTCCTGGGCGCTGGCGATTTTATTCAGGTTTTGGCTGGTCAGGTCGGCCTAATCCTTCACAGGACGGAGGTTAAGGCACAAAGGCCCTCGTGTTTTATCCTCAGCAGGTCACCCACACAGTTATCTTTGTCTTTTTGCCACAGTCATTTCAGTGTAAATAATACATACAGTAGTTTTTGCCTTCTGATATTTTTTTATGGCTATTTTATGGCTGTACTAGTCACTACAAAAATGCATTTTTTAAATAATTTCATACGTTTTGCTGGTGTTTATATGTAATATTCTAATCTGATTTTTTTTTTTTGCATACACATTTTTCTCAGTTGTATTATTGCATGGCTAAAATAAATGTTTTAGGACTTAGATCAGTGGTGATCCTTCTGGTGGTATTAAAACTTAAAGAACATTAAATCTGTGTAACTTGGTCAGGGTCTCAGGGAGAAGTAAGTGCTTTTCCCTGTGTATATAGTGGGATGGTAATAATGCTTTTTTTTGTTTTCTGTATGTCTTCACTACACAGCAAAAAGGCATTTCTGCAATGGTAGTTTAACGTTAGTAGAGCTGCAGTGAGAATTTCCTGAGAATGCTCCTTTGTATGGGAATGACATGTGGTCCAGTTTGGACAGGTCAGGCAGTGCAGCGGTTTGCTGAGAGTTCGGGGCGAGGTGGCTTGTGCCCCAGTCAGCCGTCGCTCGCCTGCGGCTCCCTGCACTCCCACGGGGACCTCGCTCCAGACCTCCTCGCTCCAGACCTCCTCGCTCCAGACCTCCTCGCTCCAGACCTCCTCGCTCTGTCCCTGGCTGTGGCGGTGGCCCTTCGGCCCGTAATGAGCCATAAAGGGGTCGCTGGGAGGCCTGGGTGACCTGGAGCCAGAGCTGCAGTCGGTGCCTCATCCCGGACGTTCATAAAAGCGGCGTATCGCTCCTCTCAGCGCTCTGAGCCAGACACAGTGTAGAGTATTTCAGTGTGTGGCTAAAAGTACGTTTCTGCAGTGTGTTTATTGTGCAATCATTATTTTATTGCTGTTGCATACAGTAGAAATACTAAACAGTGTTGTGCCGGCGAACGCTTATCAGTGAGTGTGGTTGTGAGGGACGGCGCTCAGGAAGGTGGCTTTTGCCTTTTTTGGTGCCTGTTTCCTGTCGTCTTCATTAATTACGCACTGCAGTCCTTTGTCTTTTATCCCCCCTTATATCTGTGATTTAGCTGACTCCGAGTGTCTCGGTTAAGGCTGGTTTTGGGGGGGGGGGGTGTCAAATTAAAGAAACCAGCGGAGGAGTAAAAAGGCCGGCGGGCGCGTTTTTCCGTGAGGCCCGCGTGTAAATTAGGTTAACAGGAGTGGGGTGTCCAGTTACACTTTACGCTTTTCAATATGCACGTCGTTGTGGCCTGGACCGGTTATTCCAGTTAGGAAGCGTAAGATAATCTCCAGTGCGTCACCGGCATCTGTGGGGCATCAGTGAGGTTTTTTTTTTTGGGGGGGGGGGGGCGCACTAAGGTGCGGCCTGTGGCACCGCTGCAGCGTCCCATCCTGCCTCATCCTCCTCTGTGTCTTGTAGTGTCCTTGCTCCACCTCGCTCTCTTATCGCTGCCCCCGGGCGGGCGAGCCTGGCAGGATCGCTGCGGTTTACCGTCTCAGTGTGTTATCACGCTAACGATCGCTGTGTCGCTGTGGCCGCGGAAGCATCAGTCTCTCTGTCCCTGTTTTGATTTAAATTTTTCCTGATGCGAGTGCGTTTGGCACATGCATGCACACACACACACACACACACACACAAACACCTATACTGTGTAGCTAAATGTGCTCTAATTGTGTAAAATGAGCTA